TTTTTTTTTTTTCTCTTGTCGTTTCTATATCGTTACATCATATATAGATATATTTGCTTGTTCTGTTCACCCCTATCTATATTATTTTTTCTATTTGATTCTTTTCTTTTTCGTATTCATTTATATATTGTCAGAAATACATATCTAACCAACATTCTAAAGATGCAGAAGTCTGAGTCATTAGGTTCACTTAATTTACCAACAAATTCAGAAAATTTAATATTAACATCAACATTTAATCCAGCATCGAAACCTAGTTCTTTTTCAAAAATGACACGGCGCATGGATATTATTCCTACACCGAACAGACCAGATAAATTATTACCATCTACTAAAACTCAATCCTGTAGTAATGAGGACAGCTCAGTAATGAATACTGTTATAGCTACCGAAAGCAATACTGCTTTCGAAGATGATCATGTTTTGTGTGATAATCGACAAGATACTTCAGTAATACCGAATTTAATTCATAATCAATCTCATCAGAAAGATCATACAAGTGATGAACAAGAAGATGATAATCTATTTGATACATTTATTTGTGAGAACTTCGTTCCTTTTTCGGGAGCAGAACCCATCAATCAATGGTTAGATGAGACTGACGCCTTATTTCATCGCTTCAAGATCTCACGTAAACTTCGTTTTCAAGCTATACCTCTTTTAGTACAAGGCGATGCGAAACGCAAATATATCAAAAATCGTCACGCCATAAAATCTTTTGATGATTTTTATGAATTTCTACTAACACATTTCGATTCAACTCCAGTAACAGTCAGTACTTCTAAACCTAGTCAAACTAATCATAAAGTTGAATTTGCGAAAGAGTCTATGTGCATCAGTAACATAACAACAGATTCTAAATTAAATGTTGCGAATATAACTGATGCTACTCAGTTGTCACAGCCATCCGTTTCTTCTTATAGTAAGCTTGCTATTGATGATACCACCACAACGAGTGGTGATGTGTCAGACTCTAACTTATCTGGAAATACTTCAACAATTAATCGTTTACCATCAGATCCAGTGATAACAGATTTACGCAAAGCTATCGTAGCAGATTTTATACGAAATCCAAAGATTTTTCGTGGTAATAAGGACGACGTGACAAAATGGTTAGAGGATATTGATCATTTGATGCACATTGCACATGTTCCTGATACGAATCGGCTCGATCTCATTTCTTATTCTCTAAGAGGAGATGCTTGTCAATGGTTTCGTAATAACCAATCAGTATTAACTAGTTGGGACAAATTTGTTCAAGAAATTAAAAAAGCTTTTACTTCGTCTTTTTCGGAAGAGCTAGCGTTTAAAACCCTTGAGTCATATACTCAAGGGGAGAAACAATCTGTCCGTAATTTTTTTAATGAAGTTCTAAACTTATGTAAGAAGGCTGATCCTAACATGAGCGAGTCGACTAAATTGAAAAATTTATTAAACAAAGTAAAGCCTAGCATGCAACTAGAGATACGCAAAAAAAAAGCCAAAAACACCTGCTGAATTTCTTGAGCATGCAAAAGAAATAGAAGAACTATTACAGTTATCTAACATCAGTACAAATACAACTATTAGTTCTGCTTCTAAACCAAAAACTTTTTCTACGAGTGACAATACTTCGAGTGCCACTTCCGTACAGTTTTCCAACAGTACTAACAGTAATTATCGTTCAATACCACGAACTAGTTTTCGTGCTTATCAAGGATCATCTAACTATACATCTGATCCCAATTATGTATCTAAACAGAATCGAACACAGGCTTCTAACTCGAATTATTATTATCAGTCACCACGTCATTCTTTATCAACAAATAAGTACAATGATAATACAGGTAGTCGTAAGCAGAAAAATATACAACCACATAAAAGTTTTGCACAACCTGATAATAAAGCGACTTCTCGCTCAGTTAATGCAGTTTTTACATCAACCTTACCACCTAATCATGATGATAATCTTGACTCTCTTTCAACAGTAGTTTGTCATCTCTGTAATTCTATGGGACATGACGCTTCGTCATGCCCAAATTTTCAGTAAAGGAGTCATCGTACGATGGTGTTGACTCCGGGAATATGCTTTTAAATCCATCAAAGCCTCCTTTAATTTTTATATACGCTTTGGTAAATAAACATAAAATTAAAATCTTAATAGACACCGGAGCCACCAAAACCTTCATCAATAATCAAATTCTACATCATTTAGTACCAATGAATTCTATACTAAAGCAATCATCTTCTTTTTTGTTAGCTGACGGTATTGCATCATTTAATGTTCTTGGATCAGTAGATTTATCGGTTGAATTTAATAATTTTTTTACTCCGATAAAAGCTTACATAGCTCAACATTTATGTACAGATATGATAATAGGCATGGATTACATTAATAAATATAATATGAATATAAATGTTCAGAAACAGATGGTTACTATTCAGTTACATAATCATCATATTGTAGTTCCGATCGTTAATGTAACAAAATCTATTAGAATACCGGTTATTTCTTCTACCACGGTATTACTTTCTTCTAATTCCACACGAAAAATTCCAGTTGCCATTCCTATTTCATCTATTTCTTTACCATTTATTCCAGCTTCTTCATTTAAAACTTACGTACTTGTTGACAATAAGAACAAACATCTTAACTTTCAAAATTATCGTAGTGATCTTATATTATATAATACCAAGAGATTTCCAAAAGTCATACGAAAAGGTACATGTCTAGGGTATTTGTTGTGTTGTTCTATGTTTCAACATCCTCGTACCTTTTATTCATCGCACCATCATTTTTTTGGAGCTACCAGACGTACTGGTATGACTCCAGTATCTAATGACTTGACAATAAATAGCGATTCTAGTAATCGTTCATCGAAATTAAGCAACAATAATAGTACGTGTACTAATCGAACCAGTTCTTTTGTAACAGAAACTGTGTTACCCTCGAAGGAATTACGTAATCCTATAGTAACACAACATCTACACTCTCTTGTTGAAAATATTCAGAATGATCAACACAAACAAGATCTTCTTTCGTTACTAGAGCGCGTCTCTAATATTTTTGATACAACCAGACATACTATAGCTCGTACTCCTATACCGCATGTTATTAATACCATTCCTCATTCACCTCCTGCTACTAGAGCATATCCTCAACCGGATCGCGAGGAAGTGATGTACGAATTTATTCAAGAGTTTTTGAACGCTGGTCTTATTTCAGAATCGAATTCGCCATATGCAGCACCAGCGATACTTGTTAAGAAAAAAGATAATTCATTTCGATTTGTAGTAGATTATAGACTATTAAATGCTATAACTATCAAAGATTCTTCTCCTCTTCCCAATATGGAAGATACAATCTTTAAATTAGGAAAAGGATTTAGTTATTTCTCCAAACTCGATCTGAAATCCGGTTTTTATCAAATACCGATTAATGAAAATGATAAAGAGAAAACAGCTTTCATAACCCCATTCGGCTTATATCAGTTTAACGTTCTACCGATGGGATTACGAAACTCTCCTCCTACTTTTCAAAAAGTTATGACAGAGACTTTGAAATCGTGTCGTCAGTTTTCTCTCGTTTACTTAGATGATATTGTTGTCTTTTCCAAATCTTTTTCTGATCATTTGGATCATCTTCAATCCGTCTTTTCAGCTTTGCAACAGAAAAATCTAATATTAAATCCACCTAAATGTGAATTAGCCGTTCATCAAATTAATTACTTAGGTCATACTATCAATAAAAATTCTATCAAACCAGTGAAAGATAAGATAGAAGCTATTTTGCAAATACAAGAACCGCGTACTTTAGCTCAAGCGAATCGTTTTCTAGGGTCTTTAGGATGGTATAGAAAATTTCTACCAAAATTTGCCGAAGTAGCAGCACCCATACATACTGTTACCAATCTTACGAGGCCTAACCGACGAAAATTTAAGTGGCAAACTGCTCAATCAAAAGCCTTTCACCAACTTAAAGAGATGCTTACCACCGAACCTTTATTTTTACATTTTCCTATAGATGATTTACCTGTAGTATTAACTTCAGACGCTAGTGATATCGGAATAGGTGGTGTTTTACAGCAAGAAGTCAATGGGCAACTCCGTAATCTATACTATCATTCTCAAGTTATTACACCATGTCAAAGAAAATATAGTACGATCGAGAAAGAAGCGTTGGCTATCTATAAGTGTTTGGATCGTATGCGTTCTTTTGTATTGGGGAGAAATATTATCATTATGACTGATCATTGTCCCTTATGTTATATAATGCAAAAGTCTATTAAGAATAATAGGGTGAATCGAATAACGCACTTGATCCAAGAATATAATATCGATAAAGTCGTTCATATTCGCGGTCAGTACAATTGTCTCCCTGATTATCTTTCACGTTACTCAAAAGAACAATTTGATGATATATTCGATATTGAATATGGCTTAGCTAGTAAATCTCGTTCGATCTTATCATCAGCTACATCTGATAATGATACTAAGAACTTAACATCAGATTCAACAGTTTCTTCCACTAATCCGAATGTTTTAGCAGCCATGACTCTAAGACCACGTAAAAATCGAGTTTATTATACAAAACAACATATTTCTGATGGAAATAACGTGAATAATCATCATGATTATATAGATACAACAGATTCTAGACACAAAAGAAAAACCAAACTAACATCTACACTTTCACAAAATTTTTTCGATATAACTAAGTTACAAGTGGAACAAGCTCGAGATCCTAAGATACAGAACATAATAAAAAATTTATCTACTATATCGAGTCAAAGTTCATTTATCTTAGAAAATAATAAACTGTACAAATTAATCAGTTCTCAGAATATTTCTAATCGAATCATTAAAGCGTTATATTTACCATCATCAATGATAAATTCTCTATTGAAAGCATGTCACGATGATCCATTGACAGGCGCTCACTTTTCTACAGATCGTATGTACTATAAAATTCGTCCTCATTTTTGGTGGCCCAGTATGAAAGTCACTATACAACGCTACGTAAAGTCTTGTAGTTTATGCACGCAATTTAATATAGATCGTGCTAAAAGATATGGTCACTTACGTTCTATTCCACCACCTGAAGGACCATTCGCTTTAATAGGCATTGATTTTTGTGGACCATTACCTAGGACTCCTAGTGAAAATCAATATGTGCTTATTATTACAGATTATTTTACGAGACATATAACAGCATTAGCACTTCCAAACTGCACAGCAGAAACTGCAGCGCGCGCCTTATTCGATGATTGTTTTTGCAAGTTTGGTATACCGTCAGTTATCTTAAGCGATCGTGGAACACATTTTCAAAATAAGTTAATGGAGAATCTACAACATCTCATAGGATACAATCATATATATAGTACTCCATATCATCCCCAAACAAATGGTATCGTAGAGCGTTTTAATGCTACTTTTGTAACTCAGATTTCAAAGTTACAAAATGCTCAACATAACAACTGGGATGAGTACTTGCAAGCCGTTGTCTTTGCTTATAATACAGGAGTACACAAGTCCACGAAATTTTCTCCCTATGAGTTACTATACGGTCGTACTGCTCGTCTACCTATTCATATACAACCTACAGAATTTACGTTTCCCAAGCCTAATGATTATTTTGAACAACTAAAAAAGACGTTGCGTATATTTCATCAGGCTTCGCGTGAAAATATATTATTTCAACAACAAGCTAATCAGGCGTATTATAATAAGAATCGTCTTGATCCACACCTAAAATTAGGAGATAAAGTTTTAACTCGTATTCATGTTTCGAAAGGAAAATTAGATCCGAAATTTTCTCCTATTCCAAAAATCGTTGTTGAAATTCATCACCCAATGTATATAGTCGAAGATGAGTGTACGCACATAAGATCACAAGTACATATAAGCGATTTACGACCGATCAGTTTTGAATAATATTTTACATCTTTCATTCTAACATAATATTATTTTGATAACAGTTTCCTCATGTATTAGTTTATAGGAATAACACCTATCATTTCTATTTTATCATGATTTTATTGTTTATTATTATACTAATAGTTTCTAGTTATGGATATAATAGATACTTATGTTTATTCTTACGACCGAAGTGAAAAGTCCTTTGAATAGCATTAGCTTTCTGTTATGGAAATTATGTTGTTACTATGGCGCCGTAGGAGGACATAATCGAATGTATTGAAAATCTGTATAATAATATCGGATGATCATGGTATCGTAAGAATTCGATAGTACTTAAATTTTCATGGAGATCAAACCTTTATATATCATCTCCTAGCTTATTTTAAACTTTTCGTGTTTACATTCATTTATGCTTCTTTTCTTTCATTTTTCAAT